TATATGGTATTCAGTTTAGGGTAATAGTTATTTGAAAGGAATATAATCTTTGAACATAAGATAGTAGTTTAAGAATAAATACCTTCTATAAATTCATTATCTATTTTGCTATTCACTCACCGAGCTAGAAATTTTATACACTATATAAATTAGATATATAAATAATGAATGTTGATGATACTTAGTGTAGTTCTCAAAGGTTGAAAATCTTTTCCAAAAATGAGTATTTGAAACCTGTCACTTCAGGGGAAAAAAAGAAGCCAAAACTTTATTTTCACTTTAGTATAGGAACGCTTTGAAACAGGTTCATCTAAGACTAAGTAATCGAAGAATTTTAATTTTAAAGGGGGTGGGGGACTGGAGGAGAAGCTTAATTTCCAAGAACATCCACCTGAGAAGTAACTTTTTGGAAGAGAATGTCTGAGTATCTTTTAAAAGCTAGAGAAAAAAGTAATTTAAAATATTGGCATTCCACAAACTAAGCACAGCATAAAATGACTCATAAAAGGAAATTTAATGAAGATATAAAAAAACTGAAAGCAAATTAATTGATTAAAACACACAGACACACACATTGCATGCAGTCTTTCAACATTACATGCTGGTTGGCTTTGCATTTTCTTTTTAAAATATAATCGTAACTTCTTAATGTATAAGACAGTAAGGCCCTCAAGATACTCATGAAAAATTCTAATCAAATTTCACTCTAGAATTAGTAATCTGCTAAGAGAACCAGGCCTAAATAAATCTGTTATGTTAAACCAGAAATCAACACATGCTATTTTCCAAAGCAGGAGCTATATAAACGACAAGCTCTTCCATGTTTTTGTTAACTAGATTTGGTACACTTAAACATAAGCAGTACTCTCCATCCAGAGTACTCCAATACAAATGTTTTCATATCTTTTAGAATTTATAATTCATTCTAATGCTCAATCTTTACGAAAATCACCAGAGGATTTGCAAGTGCTGCCTACTATCTAGCGCAGTAAAAACTGTATTTGTTCTGTTTTTAAATCCATAGGTTTTACTGTATGAGGTTTCAGAAAGAAACAACTTTATTATATTTTCTTTTGGTTGTCACTGATGATTTTAGCTTAAAGATCATTAATTTTAACACTACATCCTGTTATATTCTCATTTGTTGTTCTATTTATCTCAAAGGTAGACTTTATGTATTACCATTACAAAAAATAACTATTTGCATAATACTTTATGATTTTACATCTATTACAAACACATCACAGGGAGCCTGAGGATGCATTCAGTAGCTTGTCATTCACCACTTCAAGACTCTTCAGAACCAAACAAGGGGAGGGTGACATTTTGCTAATGGCAGAAGTAAAGAGATGAATATAAATAAAAACCTTGAAGGCTTAAAAACACAAGAGAATTTTTAAAAATACAAAAATATGATTCCTCTGCAATTTGTAAAACTCCATGTCCTTTCTGTAGAAGCAAAGTGTGTTTGGAAATTTATGTATCTGTTATAATACCCATTTAAATAGCCTAAAACTGCTATAAAAATAAAGGAAATTACCATCTTCTTGCTGTATTTTATAAAATAGTATCATATTAAATTCAAATGCACCTATTTTAAAAATTCAGCTTTTCCTTAGCCTAGTGAAAACAATCTAAATACCATTTTTATAACTCTAGCCTTAATCCTATAACTATGCATATTAAAAATGTTTAAGAGGATATAACAATGAGCTAACATGTTTAGAAATTATATTGTTTCCTAATTTCTTCCTGGTAAGACAATTCCAAAGAAAATTATTTAAAGCTATATTTTCTTCCATAACAACCAGTCCAGATAAAAAATACTGAATGCTCAGTGATGTCACCTCGAGTCCAAATGCTCAGAGCACGTAGAGCTTTTTGTAAACAGTATGTCTCTATAGTAAATACATATTGGGCCACCATTTACTTAACATTTTTAAATGTAGTTTCATACCCAGCATAACACCATCTACACACACACACGCACACACACACACCAAAGCAGTGTGCAGAAAAGGAAGGGAGTGCAGAGCAAGAGATGGAGCACGTTGTTGTTTTTCATTCATGCAGTATAGTGATGTCAGTGTCTGCAGCAGCAGAGGCAGCGGCAGGAACCTTGACCTGTGGAGACTCAATTCCACTGAAGTCAGAACCTTGCAGAATTCAAAAGAAACTGAGTAATCGTTTGAGAAATTGTCCAACTATTCATAGGAAGGATTTTAAGTGGCTAAGTAAACAGACCAGAATAGTTGTATAGTTTTAATTTGGGTAGCTCTCTAGCCCAGCTAGATGTGGAGAAGTAACATATAGGTAATATGATTAGGAGACTGGGGGCAGAAGAGCCTGCATTCAAAATCACTTCAATGTAAGAAACTGACAAAACCACCTGGTGTTAAAACCAGCAGAAAAGCCTCTTCCATTCCCAGTACAAGCTCTCTGATGATGCAAATCTGTCTATCGAACACCCAAACTCAGAAGTGTTTTCATCATGATTGCATTAAAATTGCATTAAACTCGGATGTGCCATACGACAACAAAGAGGATAGTTTAAGCCTGATCACAAATTTCATTAAAACTGCCTGATGATGGACCATGTAATTCCTAAGCAATTAAGGCTTTTGAAGGATGCAGAAAAACAAGTTGTACTATGATCTGTTGTAAGATGTTAGTGTTTATCAACAAAAGAGGAGGAGGTACTGGATGGCCATTATATTGTTGTAGCAATTGCCGAAACTACTCTTACTCTGCCCACAAAACCCTCTGTACACAATCTGTCTGGAATGCTTATTTTATGGCTCTCATATTAGTGCTTAAAAGAAAAGCCCAAAACTCAATCTGTACCCTGTTGAAGCTCAATCATTCAAAAATGTATGTGACTGCTGCCTTCTTTTCATTCTGTGACCTCTCATTTCATATAGCTCTAGAAAATGTGCAAGAGAGTTGCATATGGCATTAATCTGTTAGAAAATGGTGGCCTTTTCTATAAAATACAGCCAAAGATGTGTGTTCAGTGGTGGTCATTATTAGGGCGATCACGTTGTTTTCATTCATTCATTCAGGATTTGCTGGAGGATGTCAGTTTCTGCAGCAGCTGGCTTGACCTGGGGGAGGAGTGGGGGAGCAAATTCCTCCTGGTGCATACAGATTACAGGATGCATTTCTTGGTGCTCATGTACACATACCAGTGCTACTGCATCCTACCTTGCCTCACCATCGAGTGGTCTGAAAACAAGTGCCTTAGCAACATGTTAATTACAGGTCAGAAATATTAAAACAAAAAACACCAAAACTGTAATCTATCATAACACAGCCACTTTCTCCAAGTCTAAGACCCTCGTCGAGGAAACTCCATAAAAATATCCCACATACCACATAAACATTTGCACAGAGAGCTCCGCAGTGTTTCTCTTCCCAGCAGATTTTCCACTTAGTCTGCTCTGTTCTCCCCACAATGCTGCAGCGGCGGCATCTGTAGCTCTAGCCTGGGATCTAATAATATGAGCTGCTCTCCTCTCCCTTATGAGCTTTAACTCCCTGTTTTGGCTAATCTTCCTTTTCTCCCCGGTGACTCCACTACATCATGCACCGTGTCCCTAGACATAAAACAAAACCAAACTAAAACAGAAAACCTTAAGGGAAGCCAACAGCATCCAACTCACCATTACCTTTGACACCCAACAAAAAAAGAAACTTGAGATCCTTTAACAGCTCCACTGAACTGCGAAGTGTGCTTAAAAATGGGAGGAAAAACGGAGCACACACTTCACAAACAGGTCTTTAAAATTTACCATGAAAATGCTGAGCTGGGCATAAACTGTTTCCAGTGAAGTACTGCTCTGATGCATAGGACTATATAGAGTACAGATTGGGGGGGGGGGGGGGTGCGGGGGGGATTAGCAAAACAAAACACTATACGCTTCAATTGCACATTCCCAAACTGTCCCCTTACCAAAAAAATATCCCTACATCACCACTAATGCCAGCACCCCCTCCAAAAAGAAAAAGAAAAGAAAGAAAAAAGAACCATCCCCGGAGCCAGAGACATTAGGAACTTTGCAGGAAAGCACAAAGAGGCTGCTGCAGAGTTTGCGTGCGTGTTTCCTAAGTGTTTCGCCCAACTCCTCTCCGTCCCCCGCTGCAAACAGCAAACACATGAGTGAGCTAATCAGCTCCTTCTATTGAAAAAACCCCTGCACGCAGGTGAGGGATGCAAGATCAATCCCGAGGGGCGGCAGGGGGAGGGGGCGTTAAAGAAAAGTGCTTCGCAGTCCGCTCCGCCGATCCCCGCAGCGACCGCAGAGGGTGAGGCTCC